ACACACACACACACACACACACTTTCATTATAGCCTATATGACACTGCATTTACGGAAGCCTATTTAGAAGTTACCGTATATACATGGACACTCCCTCTCCCACCCTCCAGAAAATCTCACCAATCTCTGCCGTCAGTCAAGTCCAGCACATAGCCACCCTGTAAGACACAGTAGAACTGCCCTGGGAGACTTTCAAGACTGGAATCGTTTATGGGTGTAGAAAGCCTCATCTTTCTCCCACAGAGCAGCTAGTGAATTTGAACTGCTGGTCTTGTGGTTAGCAGCTCAATGTGTGACCCACTACAACACCAGGGTTCCACAGGGAGATGTCGATTGCACGCACACATAGAGCTTGGATATCAGAGCAGAAACGCTCTGGGTTCTAGGAGAGAGGAGGTGAGGCAAAGCAGGGGGTTGAACTCGTCTGCAAAGTCTAACCCCACTCACAGTTCTGGATTGTTTGTTTACTGATTTTTATCATCATTGCTGGTCCTGTTTTCCTGGCCTGCATGTCTAGTAAATTTTGAGTGAGTGCTGGAAATTCAGAATTTGATTTTGTTATGTGCTAGACATTTTTACATTCCTAGATTCTTCTCTTCAATTCAGATGTGTCTCCCAGGTTCTCCTGGGTTTCCTGCCCTGGTCCATGGCCTGGACCCTCCCTCAGTCAGCTGGGATCATTGTCCGCCTTCCCTCTCGGGCCCTCTCCACCCCCAGGCCCCAGGCATCGCCAGTTTCCCTTTACTTGATAGCTGATGTCTTGGAAACCATTTCCCCCAATATTTTGGCTGATCTTTTGTTGTAGCAGTTTAGGGTAAATTCAATCCCTGTTTGTCCATCTTGTCCAGAAGTAGAAGTCCAAGACTGGGATGGGGAGGAGGAAGAGTGGCTGGGGGATTTTTTTCTTTTAAATCTCCGTAAGGACAGCGTCAAGGCCACATGCTATGTGTAATGACTAAAAGCTAGGGAAAAACAAACCCAAAGTTGATAAATAAATTGTGTTTGATACCAGGAATGAGAAAGAATAAACTACAACCAAATGTAAAAAAATAGATAGATCTCACAAATATAATGCTAAGCAAAAGAAGCGCATTACAAAAGAACACATTTTATGGGATTCCGTTTACGTAAAATTGTAAGACAGGTAAATCTAGTCCATGGTGTTGGAAGACAGTGGACACCTCTGTGGGGAGGTAGTGATTAGAAAGGAGCGTGCTATGGCTTCTGGGGTTCTGGTCATACTCTGTCTCCAGATCTAGCTGAGTGTTCCCCAAAGTGGTTGATAACCACTCCCTGGGGGGCAGTGGAACGATGCAGTGGGTCTTGTAGAAGCAGATGCCTATGCTTTATCCTGGAATGTGGGCTATAGTATAAAAATTTCTTTATTATCAGGGAGTGCTGAGTAATTTTTTTTTTTTTTTTTTTTCTGAAAAAGGCCAAGTAAGTGTGGAAACCTATGATCTTGGTACTGGTTGCATGGATGTGTAGCTTTGAAGAAGTCTTGAGTTGTATATTTATATGTGACTTTTGATATGCTATGTGCCAATAAAAAATTCTGTACCCTCCTCCCCCAAATAAAAAAGATCAAGGCTATAAACCAACTGCAAGACAAGAAGGTGCAACTGAATGTCTAGTATTGAGTGTGAGACTAAGAAACTGCTGGTACCCAGAACTCTAGCAGAAAGCGCGTCCTCTCCCAACTGAAGGTAGAATGGACACCTGGGAGGAGCAATGTGTCATGTGTTTGTGTGATGAGCTCAAATTCATACAGTGTGTGTAAGACAGAAACCCTGACTCCGATATCGAAAAAACAAGACACAAACCTACTTTCATTGAGTCAGTTGTGATTCATAGTGACCCGATGGGGCAGAGTTGCTCCCTAGGGTTTTTTGAGTCTGTACGTTTTTACAGGAGTAGAAAGCCTCATCTTCGCCCACTGAGCCTCTGGTGGATTTGACTGCTGACCTAGCTGTTAGCAGCCCAACCTATAACCTACTACACGAGTAGCTTAAAATCTGCAGCCCTCATAGGATAGCTCAGAGCCACCCATAAAACCTGTCCGCTTGGAGGACTTCATCATTCAATGTCTCCTGAGGCACAAGGCAAATAGGCTGTTGATCACATTTTGAAAAGTATAGCTGAAGGTTGGTGAACACCACACTGGGCATGGCCTGTATCCACCAGCCTTATTTGTGTGTGGCAGGCAAATTCCGGATGTAGAGGCTTTGAAAAGTTCCCGGAAAGGTAGAATTCAAAGGTAATGAAAATTTCCTTGAACTTTTTGAAGTCCCCCTCATCCACTCTTTCTATTGTTCATTCTCTTAAACTTTCCTTATTTCTGTCTTTGGTTCTCATGCTCTGTCTGCTGCATTGTGGGTAATTTTTTCAAACCTAGCATTCCATCCTTGAGTTCCCTATTAGTCTGCAGTCTAGTGTTTTCTCTATGGATTTCTTAAACTATCAGTGATCACAGTTTTCATCCCTCGATACTTGTTGGGTTCTTTTCATATGTCTTGGTCATACGTGATGGTTTCTCCTGTTCCTTCTCTTGGCGTTGCTCAGGCAGTGCAGATAGTGTGCATTCTGGACCTTGGGCGTGGCTAGATGCTGTCGGAAAGACTTGTCTGCACCTAAGACTGAATCTCTGAATCAGTCCACCTCCTCATCCTCCTGTGGATTTGGCATTTCTCTACCACACCATTACCCCTACAGGAGTTCTAGATTTACATGAGGTTCCCATAGGCAGGTTTCTTACCAGTCTTGGATATCAGACTATTCCCATTTCTAAGTTACCAGGGGGCCCATGGATGACCCTCAGGTAAATATCTAGTTCAGTGTTCACATGCTTAGAAGTTTCTCTTTATTTCGGACTTTGGAGAGGTTTCTCTTATTTTCCTATCATCTCAGGCATGTATTTAAGAACATGGTTTAGTGCACCTTGAAAAAGGAGGGGAGTGTGTGTGTGTGTACACGCACACATTTTATAGTTGCCCCTCAGTATTCACGGGAGATTGCTTTCAGTCTACCAAAATCCACATATGAATACACTCCGTATATTAAATGGTAGAAAAGGCATTAGTATTCACATATAACCATGTACCTTGAATCATCTCTAGATGACTGATAATAATACAAGTCAATATTATGTAAGTTGTACTTGACATTCCCTTTTAGCCTTTGAAGAATTGCTCTGACCCTGTAGTTGCTCCCCCAGCCCCGCCCCCAATGTCTTCAAACTGCAGTTGGTTGAATCTATGCATGAGGAATCCCAGATACCAAGGGCCAGTTGTATATGTGCATTTAAAAGTCATCTCTGGAAGAATAAGAAACACCAGTAATGCAGGGGAGGCAGTGATTAGGATTAAGTGATGGGCAACAGGAGGAGGCAACCTTTGTATATTTTGTGATTTGATTCAAGCCGTGTGAATTATTAGAAGCTCGGTATATTAAATCTGTAATTAAAAATGCCACGATATTCCCTCTCCTCTATTGCAGTCTGGATGTTCTACACTGGGTGGGTTTCTCTAGACCAGTGGTTCTCAACCCTCCTCATGCTGGGACCCTTTCATACAGTTCCTCATGTTGTGGTGGCCCCTCAATCATAAAATTATTTTTGTTGTTACTTCATCACTGTCATTTTGCTACTGTGATGAATCGGGCGACCCCTGTGAAAAGGGTCCTTCAACCCCCAATGGGGTCGCGACCCACAGGTGGAGAACCGCTGTTCTAGACAATTTACTAATTTGTGAGAAATGAAGTAGTAATTATTTTTGTGGTTTACGGTTTCTGGATCTTGGTTTTGCCTCTTTGTAGTCTTCTAAACGAACTTGGTAGATGAACGTTTTTCAACTGAAGTGTAGTAAGGATTCTTTAAATTTTTCCAATCTGATGTGGACTGATGCTATGGTAAACTGCAATAAGAATAACTTACTGGTCACCTGCTTACATGGCATGGCGATACTGGTTTGCTAGTGAAGCAGCTCGTGAGCCAGGCCCCGCCCACGCTGGGTAGCAGTGCTCTGCAGTGGTCTCCTTTCTTTAATGGCATTTGCTGTTACTTGATCAGGAAACAGGCTGTTCCTGGAATTTCTTTTCATTAAAAGGGAATATTTGTGTGCCGATGTAGACAATCACTTTTTCTGTCTGTCAAGATATTTGTGTGGCCCTACCTAGGAGACTTTAGGGCTTTCTACAGCGCACTCTCACTGGGAGTAAGTCTGTGACCAGCTCCGATGGCTGATGGTACCAGTTCATTTCCAAAAGCCTTTCATTGAGTAATAATCTCTCATCGACTCAAAGCTGCATTAATGTTGGTATTTGCTTGATTTTCCAGAAGGTCTTGTTGGTTGGTTTTCACAGTCAGGACTGTCTTCTGGCTGTCAGCATTGTGAGCTACCATTGCTTTTGAGATATTAAAACTTGAGAGAATATGTCTTGGAATATCTTATACATGGCCTTGTACTATTGAGTGCTTGCAGATTTGCTTGTGAGAAATAGGAAGGAAGCCTTTGGAGACTCCCTTCAGCAACATCACCCTCGGCTAAATGGCCTGTCTTCCCTCCGTTACGATAGCCTGACATCTCCCAAGACACACTCCATTCCCCAGCTGGCCTAGCCTCCCTTGATGGACCTTGAAGTGGGAACCTTGGTCACATTCGCTGCAAACTGGTGTTGTTCCAGGTGTTCATCATAGACATTTTCCTTTCCATTGAGTTTTCATTTCTCTTACCTTCAGCTTCCTCTATTCTCCCCCCAACATTCAGAGATTGTGATTGTTGGGAGTTCTGCATTTTTTTTCTCCTGTGCAAACATGCACATCTAGACTGTTAAAGAAATTCCTCAAAAATGTATGCTTGTCCCTCTGTATTTTCCTGGTGCAGCTAGGGTAACTTCCCCCATTACAGTGTCCTTTGCCATTTAAATGGTAGTTTGAGAAGGGCGATGCGTGGGCTTTGTATTTATTAAATGCTTATTCTGGGCCCAGCATAGTTTTATGTTTGGGAGCAGAGCAATAAACAACAACCTTAAATTCGGGCCATGATTAGTGTGTTCGTTTCGCTTAGTCTTGGGTTTCCTAAGCTGTAAACTTAACCTAGTTCTACATCTCTTCGTCTGTAGAACTCCTTTACAAAGGTGTCAATTCTTAAGAATATGTCTAGTCTTTATGAATGCCCTCGTAAATGGTTTACTTAGAGTTGACACTAATGTGGCAAATGTGCCCTAAAATTAATTGTGTGTCTGCTTTTAGGCGATTACACCTCAACAAGAAGGCAACCGACAAACAGCCCGACAGCAAGCTCCCAGGTGTGTCTCTCCTGAAGCCACTGAAAGGGGTGGACCCTAACCTGATCAACAACTTGGAGACGTTCTTTGAGTTGGATTATCCCAAAGTAAGTATAGTGTTGTACTTATCAGGAATGGGTTGGACCATACTGGTTTCTACCCCACCCCACCCCGTCTCCCGTAAACCACTAAAGAAGAGTTTTTGATATATAAGGTGAACATTTTAAAAATTCATTCTGATACTTAGATTTTAGTAGTTGGAAATGGTGAGGAAGAAGTGTAAATTTCTTTACGAACCATTTCTGTGTCTAAAATAGAAATCTCTGAGTAAACCTGGAAGTCAGACGTTGTTAACAAGTACCTGGTACTTTGGTCCAGAGACCCTGTTTGGTGAGAGGAAGCTGGGAACAATGCTAAGGAGGCGGTGAAGGAGAAGGCAGGGTTCGTGGTTTGGAATGGAGAGCAGGGAGCTGGCACGAATGTGAATTTCCTCGGCGATCTGGTTTTTGAGTCAAGAGTAGGCTATAGGAGTGGCAAGACAGTACTTGCAGACTTGACTTTGAACTTTTTTACTTCTCTTTTAAAACCTGATTGCATTGTTCATAATGTTTATTTAATCTATATAGCTATAAGCTCATTTTGTACTCTCCATGAAGAACTTCTAGTTTCCTTGAAACTAGAGTATCAATTGCCTATTTGACACATGCTTTGAAGGGCGTTTTAAAAGAGTGCTAGTACATTTCTTGTGAGAAGAAAAAAAGATGTCCTTAAGTTTCTGCATGCTTTGTTATGTTATCTTTGAGTCTCTGTTTATATGCCTTATTCGTTTCCTGTATTGCCTCATCTTCTCAGCTATTTTTCCTTCTTGGGGGACTCTTTACCTTGTATTTTGTTAGACCGCAAAAAAACTCTAAAACTCATTGCCACGGAGTCAATTTCAATTTGTAGTGATCCTATAGAACTGAGTAAAATTGGGTTTCCAAAACCTCATCTTTCTCCCAGAGAGTGGCTGGTGGTTTTGAACTACTGGCTTAGCAGCCGAACATGTGACCCACTACACCACCAGGGCCCCATTGTGTTAGGACAAAAAATACACCCCAATAGTAGGAAGGACACTGTACACACCATGCTTCTAATGGTGACTGGGTTCCATGCTCTTACTTACTTTCGTTTTGCCCTTGTCTTTTTTGGGTAGTGCCATTGACAAAACAGAAAACACTCAGATATGAAACCCCTGTTGCAACTCCTAACTTTGGGGACATGAGTATCTGTTATTTAAAAAGATTTTTAATATCTCATCTGGAAGTCTTTTTTTTTTTTTTTTGAAAGTTTATTTTCATTTTAGGGTAGGCTCGTCTAAGCAGTGCCCTCGGGTACAAACCTTAATCCCTTACCTCTGGACCTCTGCCCTGCTGGGCAAGTGTTACAAAGCTCTGTTCACTCTGCTGAGAGATGATCAAAGACACTCAAACCACCAGTAAGTCTTGGCCTGAAGGTGCTCAATTCTGCATCTGGGACAGCACGTCGAGCTGCCCTACTAGGTGAAGTTTTTTGTTGTTGTTTTTAATTGGGGGCTCGTACAATGCTTATCACAATCCATACATCCATCCATTGTGTCAAGCACATATGTACATTCGCTGCCTTCATCACTGTCAAAACATTTGCCTTCTACTCTAGCCCCTAATATCAGCTGCCCATTTTCCCCTTCCCTCCCCGCTCCCCTCTCCCTTATGAACCCTCCATAATTCACAAATCATTATTGTTTTGTCATAAGTTACACTGTCCAACGTCTCCCCCCAAGAACCAGCCTACCCGACTAGCAGGCATCCTAACACTCAGCTTCTCACTGTGGCCTGGGAAGTCCATCGCTGGCTCATGGTCTTCGGTCGGCTGTCTCTGCTTCTTACCCGCCCTTGCTACCTTTGGTGCCCTCGCGCGCTCTGTCTCCTGGATTGGGGAAGTTCACCACAGGGATCTCAGGTCCAAAGGACACTGTACTACTGGCCCGGCATTCTTGGTTGTCTTAGTCTGGGTACTTTAGAGAAACAAATCCACAGAAACTCATATTTATATATATAAGAGAGTTTTATATAAAGGGTAAGTGCACATCAAGAAAACATCCCAACCCAGTGCTGCCCAAGCCCACAAGTCCAACATTAACCCAGATGTCCAACATGATTCCACAAAGTCCTCCTCCATCTCAAAACACACGCAATGACACCAACTGCAGGAGGAAAACCGAGTCAGTGAATGTATAAGCATCTCAGCGCTGGCAGGGATCTCCACACGGCTGCTCCAGCACCCAGGGCTGCATCCGGGTAGGTCCATGTGGCTTCTCCTCAGGGATGTCTTGCAGGAAATGAGCATGGCCAGCTGAAGCAGGGAACTGGCCAAGGCAGCTGCCACCCTGGTCCGACCATCACAAAGCGAGAGACCTGAGAACTCGAAAGGCGAGGCTCACCAAGCCATTTATCCCTCCACCCTTCTATTAACCCCACATGTGTTTATCGGCCTGTTTGGCACAATAAACTACCTCAGTGGTCATGAGATTTTCCCCCCACCCCCTACCCTTTTTGCCTCTCAAATGGCTCTGTTTAAGCCTAACTAGATAGCAAAGCCGGGACTAATGCCCCTGTTAGGCTTCCATTTACCTGTTTGCCAGGGCCTACTCCCACATTTGCATAACCCTACCTAGTAATTTGATGGAAGTTACAAAGGCTGTATCTAAAAGGGCCACATTAAGTAATTCACTGCATTCTGGTACCGGAATTCCTAGAAAATAGTTGATCAAACTACGAAGGCACAACAATGGTTGTCATAGTCAAAATAAAAATCCTGGTTAAAATCTAATACAGTCAATGAAACAGGTGAGAGCCAGGTGCTACCTCCAATTTAAACAGAAGCTAAGGGTTCTGGCCATATTTTAGATATTGAGAATTTTCATTGGCATTCTAATCAGAAGGTATTTGGTTTTAATTTGAAATTAAGTTTAAAAGGTTTAATCAATACAAATAAAAACTTTGCATTTGAATAAAGGTAAACTTTACCTTCCTTTCTTAACACCACATCTTCCTCAAAAGAATTTCCATAGGACCCAGCACAGCCTCTTTCTTCACGTTGGATATATTTCTAGCACTATAAAAGGGTAGGCTTAGCTCTTTCATTATATTTAAGGGGTTACATTGCTTATAAATATTGCCTTTTACTATATTCCATCAAACCGCATAAATTATCACAGCATGCAGGGAACTGTGCTGTGTGGACAAGACGGGAGCAGCGGTTCTCAACCTTCCTCAGGCCACAACCCTTCCAGACAGCTCCTCATGTGGTGGTGACCCCCCCACCATAACATGGTTTTCGTTGCTACTTCATCACTGTCATTTTACTACTGTTATGAATCAGGCGACCCCTGTGAAAGGTCACTTGACCCCCCAAAAGGGGTCACAACCCACAGGTTGGAAACCACAGCTCTAGAACAAGCCTGGCTGAGCATATTTTATTACGGTGAGAGAGCTCCTTGTTATTTTTACTCTTTGAAAGTCAAATACTTCACTTTTTCCGTCTTCACTTTAAGTTCGCTGCCTTTCCCTGATTCCACCAAACATTATTTTGAGAGTCAAGATGGTGAATAACACTGAAAAAAAATGAGTTATGCTTTACCTGACTCAGAGCCCCGTCTTTAGGAAGTTCCGGGGGTGTGGTAGGTGCCCCGTTCATTGCCACATTTCCTCTGGTCTCTAAAACACGATGGCTGTCGGCTTGGATTTAATGTTTTCTGCTCTGGTAAAGTTTTCCCATCTCAGAAACTCACAGGGCAGTTCTGTTTTGTCCTGCAGCGTCCCTTTGAGTTGGCATCAACTTGATGGCGGTGAATTTGGTTTCCGGAGGGAGTGGCAGTTGTTGGCTATCATACATAATAATATCAGGGACTAGAAAGTATAAGCAGACTACGTTTTGTTTTTTCCTGTGTCCTTAATTATTGAGAAAACCTATTTTCACTTTGAAAAAAATCTTATTTCCTAAACCTTCTTCTTTGAGCTTACTTAGCTCTGTATCTTTTGTGTTCAACCATAAATTGCTCTCTATTGCCAAATTTTGCTGAGATGATATGAAAATAACTTTAAAAATATTGCTAGTAGGCCTCTTGTTTATACATGCATGTTTTATTGCAAACAAAATGTGTTCTGAAATATCTCCACCGTCAGTGGATGGCTGCAGACACCTTCTTCTAATAGTGCATGTGCCTTAATCTCGCTGGGGCACCTTGAATAAAAGATGGCTTTGTGTCACGGCACGGGGGACTTTGAGGTCAGGCTAATTTTAAACTTTTAACACAACTCAGTAGGCATTTTCTCAAATCGTTGAAGCTTTGCAACAAACTTACGGGAATGCTACCTCATGTAAAACAACAGTTTTTAGATCGAGTGTTTTAGGAGGGTTGGGAAGATCTCAATGATAAGCTGTTAACCTCAAGGAATGAAGACACTGGGTCTGAAGTTCAGAAACTGGTGGAAGAAGACAGTTGATGGAATAGCCGCTGAAGTTGGGATCTCGGTGTAAAAAGTTCAGGGAGGTTGCAGTGAGGGACCAGTATCTCTGAGAGTAGCCTGGCCTGCTCCTATGAGAATTGTATCTCCCCTGCCACCCTGGTCTTGCCCCTGTGGGATTTTCGTTTCCCAAACTCAATGACCATTTTAAAACAAAAACATTTGAGAAAATAAAAGTTACTTTACTCCTCGGACGCAGTGTAAACCATGCACCAAACAAGTCTTTGGGGAAGGTTGAAAGAGATGGAGACACTGCACTCAGAAGCGTATAGACTTAGATGGAGGGTGTGTGCAGAAGGAAGAGTTTCATTTTTTGACTCTTTTGTTTAATAAAGATTTCTGTGATTTTATAGCAATGCTTTTTAACTTGCCTTCATTTATATTAGGAGTAAATCTCCCTCCAGTACTTACAAAATGCTTAACTGGTTGTAGAAGGTGGGTTTGGTAGGAAAGTTGTCTTTGAGTCAGCATGAACTTAACACATTTCTGGAAAAAGTTAATACTTGGAATATATAGGCTACAAAGTAGTATACTAGTATATTTGTATGTGAAGGAAAATACTTCAAAAACAGAAAACAGAGTGAAACTCATTAGTCTCTATTTGTTGTAAATGTCCTGTGATAATTTTAACACAGTCAAATGCTAAGCAATAACTTTCTTACCTTGCTATCAAAGAGCAAGGGCACTGCTTTGGCTGAGTAAAATCCTGCATGCTTTTGTTGTTACATAGTTAAGCATACTTTTCAGGATGGTCCCTTCTGAATCAAATTAAATACTATTTTACTTTTAAAAAGTATTATGCACCAACAAAAATCTGGTCTCATTGTCCTTTTCACGTAAAGAGCTTAGGAAAGCCCTTTCAGTGAGCCTAAAGGCATCCGATCATATCATTTATAGCACCCTTATTGAGTACTATTAAGTTCAAATACAACACTTCTAGACAGCAGAGGCTGTGTTTAGTTTGTGTGCTCTCTGTGTTACTTACATCGCGAGGCCTCCTGTGAGCGTTTAGTAGATCTTCATCAATGGAGAAGTTGGAGATCCAGTTGAATTTCTAGGCCATGCCTGTGTTGGACTGGCAGGATTTCACCTGTGGGTTCTGCCAATTTCTTCCTTTATTCTTTCCGCTTGTATGCCAGGGCCCTGTTTCGGAAAACTGCTCTGAGTTAAACCAGCAGTTGTTATCATGAGTGTTTGCACCCACTATGAATATGCTCTTAACTTTTAAACCTTGTGAGCACAATTGCTTTTTAATCAGTAAATGGTCATTGATAACTGCTTTTTTTTAAATAGACTAATAGCTAGAAATATGTTCTTTGACTAGTATGAAATCCTCCTTTGTGTGCAAGATCATGATGATCCAGCCATTGATGTATGTAAAAAGCTTCTTGGAAAATATCCTAATGTGGACGCTCGATTATTTATAGGTAAGTAACCAATCGTTCAACAATGCATTTAGCTGTAGTAGTATTCAGTAGTAGTAATCTTCACTACAGTAACTATAGATTAAGGTGCCAGCCACCTACTGATGTTGCTAGCGTGTTAGTTTTAGTATTGTTGGTATAGTGAAAGCTATTTACATCTTCTTGAGGAAACTCGTTAGAAAAGTGACGTTCCACCCCCACTCCAATGTCTGAGCTTACTAACATGAAAGCAAGACAAAAAAACCCCCAAAGCCCTACAATCACGTTATATCATCAGTGAGACTTCAGAGTCTGGTAGTTTTGTTTCTCTGGTATTCATCGGGTGGCATTTTCTATGGTCTTACTGACTATAACTAAGAGGTAGTGATGGAATTCACTTTTCTTCTATTACAAGAAACTTTTTTTCCAAGTATCTACACTTTTCCTGAATACTTGAAGAAGTGTGTTTGGCATTAAATATTGATTCATATTTACTCTCTACTCATTCAAAGGTAAGTAATATAATGTTCTTGTGAAAAAAAATTAATAGATAATAGGGAATATAACAAATAATGGAAAGTGTGTTATTTGTATTAAAATATATAGCTGTGTGTTTCACTTTTTCCTGACCTGTGTCTGTGTAATAGAATGTATCTCTAATGCGGTATCATCTTTCATTTCTATACCTCTACACTTCTAGGTGGCAAAAAAGTTGGCATTAATCCTAAAATTAATAATTTAATGCCAGGATATGAAGTTGCAAAGTATGATCTTATATGGATTTGTGATAGTGGAATAAGAGGTGAGGTTTTTCTTATTTATTTTATAAATAAATAAAATTGTTCTTGATAAAACACCAAAAATATCTGAACATGTTTATCAGTTTTTTTTGTTTGCTTAATAAAGCAACTGAGCTCAGCATTATTTCATGTTAATATACTGAGTTATAATAAGATTTCCATTTTAATCCTAACCTAGAATATTATGTTTAAAAACCGTTTTCATTTTACAAAGAAAATTCCAACCACTTTTTAAAGTTGTGTTCTGTTACAGTCGCCGAGCTCTCACATGTGTAGCTTGTCACTTACCTGTGTGCTTCTTACCTCGTATTGTAATGTATATGTGGCTCTCACAAAAGTAGATGGAAACCAAGAGGTGCATATTTTACCAGGATATATACCTTTATTAAAATATACTTGGCTTTTATATATATATATATAAAATGTGGCTTTTTACTTCAAGGAATGTAGTCATTATTAGCATTAGGGGTTTTTATATCTATATGAATGTATATTAATATGTGCTAATGTTAATGTAAACGTTCAGTAAACCTCTCTTCTAGTGTGATTGCCTCGATCTTAACCTTAGAATTAGATTTCCCAGCCTAAGCCCCCTTGTTCTTTTGACTTGGATAGTACGTTGTTGTAGGGCCTGCCCTACACACTGTGCGATAGTCTTGCAAAATTCTTGTCTGCTACTCGTCTATGCTAGTAGCTCCCCTCACCCTTCACTCTATCCAAGTGATAACCAAAATTGTCTCCAGACATTATAAAATATCCCCAAGGGATGTAAAATTACCCCAGGTGGAAACCACTACACTAAAATAGGATTTAAGTCTTTGAGATCCATGTACACTTGATTTTATATCTTGGCTTCAAGAAATTTTGGGGGAAATGGAATTAAAAGGCAATGGAAGAGTCCTGTAAAGTGATAGTGAAATGTTGGCTATCTGAAGATGGGACACTGATGTTTTTGTATTCATTTAAAGTGGAATTTAAAAATTAATGAACGCGTAGCCGTCCTATTAATTAATTAGGACCATTAGAAATCTGTCAACTCACGGTTAGGTTATGCTCATTCTTCACATTTGTAGAATTTAATTATTTACTGTTATATTTGTTTTTCCTGTACAAACTTTTATCAATTGAAATCTCATTCCATTCTGATCAGCTGTTCTCAGAAAGGTGATTAAGATTTTTTTTGTTTCTTTAATTCAAATGTTAAAAGGAATATAAAAGCAACTCACAAAATACATCACACTAGTGGGCATTTTTAACTAAAATTTGTTTCTCCTGCCTTCTCATCCCCGCATTTTCTCTCTCTCTCTCTCTCTTTTGTTTTGTAGTAATTCCCGACACACTTACTGACATGGTTAATCAAATGACAGAGAAAGTAGGCTTGGTTCATGGGCTGCCTTATGTAGCAGACAGACAGGGATTTGCTGCCACGTTAGAACAGGTAAGTATGGTGTTCCTAAGTGATATGTTTAAAAAAAATCCCTAATCGCCAAAAGTTTGAGAATATTTTAAGTATATAGGAGTTGGAATTAGCTACCTAAAGCTAACTGCATTTTCTTGGAAATACACAAAATTTCCTTGGGAATGTACTATTGGCTAGACTCTTTCACTTGAACATAGGTGCTTTCATAGGGAGGAAATTCTTAGACCCATAGAAATCACTCACTGCTGATCTGACGGCACACTGGCAATGATTGAATGTGCTACGGAAATGCCCGATGATCTTATTGCCAGACGAGCACAGATTTTTTTAATGGTCCTGACTGGACACTGTTGAGTTCAGTTCTAGAGTAGTTACATATCGGTCTTTTAAAGATCCAATCTGAAAAGGGCTCATTTGGTTTTCTAATAATTACAGCTGAGAGACAAGTGTTTCCTGTCAGCATAGAAGAGAAATAAGAACCTGTATGTAGGGAGATGTAGATGATGGGAAAAAATCAGAAGCAAACAAACCCAGAACCTTACCATTTAGAGGAAGTTTTTGTGTTAAACGCATAGTTGAGATAGACAATGTTCTAAAAACAAATTTTAAATCTTGTTCACTTTTTCCCCAATATCATGAATAATTTTGATAAGGGCAATTTTCCTGTGGCAGTTTGATAGTCTATCATGCTGTGTCCCTTAGTTGACATAAACATGATTGTTGAACAGTTAGGGGGAGAAACCTGGTCTTACTGTTTAAGGGAAGGATACGTTGTTTTCATCTTTATATGCAAGGGTAAGTAAAAAGTGATTGCTATCAGGGTTCCATGCCTGGGTTTATTCCAAACAAAGTATGTTTAAACAAGCCTCTGGGTCTGTATCCACCTTCTCTAAGTAATGCAGAGAGGCTTCAATATGGGCATGGGGGTGGGGGGGTGGGGGTGGGGGGATAGATTTTTTAAAAGTCCAATCCAAACAGTGGCTTTTCAGGGGCTCCGCTAGGCCACTTAACGCCCAGACAAAGAGGCTAGCTCAAAAAGAGACTGTTTAAGGAGATCCGTCCGCAAGAGGGTAAGGTTTAGCTTTTTTTGAAGGGCACAGGGTGATCTCGGGTACCTAGTCAAAGTTTCAAGACGTGCTGTCAGGGCTCTGTGCTCGCCTGTTCTTCGAGAGCAGGAAGGGTTGTCCTACAAGAATGGATTTCAGTGGTACACTATAGCTTTCCACTTTAGCCCTGACCTTGACCTTGTCCCTTCGGACTTCTTGTTCCTCAGACACAAAGGACTTTGCAAAGGAACATGATTAGACTTCCCCAAGGGTGCCAAAGCTGACATTTTGATGTGGTGTAAACTGAGCAAATGATTTTTCAGGGAGGGGTTAAAGAAATGGAAACATTGCCTTCAAAGAGTATCGTCCTCATAAAAGATATGTCAAAAAATAGTTTCACATTTTGATATCTTTATTTAGTTTAGTAAGGTTTCCAAGCTCTCGTAGCAAAACTTTTTGACTTAGCTTTGTATCTATAAACTTGTTTTTTTGTAATTTTCAATTCTAATCTTTTGAATTGCAATCTCGTGATTGGAGGGGAGTGGCAGAGTAAAGGTACTGGCTCTGGGCAATTTGGACCATGAGCTCTTACATTATGTTTGCTTCCCTGTAAAAAACGAACAAACAAACATCAGTCTTAGTTCTGTTCAGTAAAAGTGAAAAGTAATCCTGCCTCTAGTATATTTGGTTGCTGCTTTAACATTAGCTGTAGTTTCCTTATTACATCGTACATTTCTTTTAGAAATAGCTGTCAGTAGTAAGCATCTCCTGGAATGCTGTTTAGCTTAAGCTGAGTTTTTAGAAGTCAGTTTGTCATCTTTAACAGTGGCTGGAGCGAGAGCAGAACCTTTACTGCAGTCTGTAAAGACGGCCTGGTGCCCGCTTCGGCAGCACATGTACTAAGACATCCTGGGGGCTTGAAATTCAGTTCTCTGCCCGACCTTATTCCTGAAACCTAACTTCATGACTGCATAAGGGACTAAGATGTGCGCTTCTGAGCAGTTTGCTTTGATTCCATTTCCCAAACTTCAGTCTAGCCAGAATCTGTTCCCCTCAGGAACAGAAATGGGAGTAGGAGTACCAGGAGGGGAGGAGGAAAGTGGGGGGAGGAGGGGAAGAAGGGGGACCAATCACAATGACACATAGGCCCCCCCCACACACACATACACACAGGGATGAAGAACAGAAACATGGGTGAAGGGAGAACAGCCGTCGGTGTAAGATATGAAAACAATAATAACAACATAATTTGTCAAGGAGTCATGAGGGTGGGAAGGAGGGAGGGAGGGGTGGGGTGGGCGAAGGAGCTGATACCAAGGCCTCAAATAGTACCGTATATATTCCTGTATCCGTCGTTTTTCCAGCACATTTTTCATGCAGTTTTGTAGTAAAATTAGGTGCCTCGGCTGATATTCAGGTCGGCTTATACGAGAGAGAGACAGAGAGAGAGAGAGAGTGTGTGTGTGTGTGTGTGTGTGTGTTGTACCACCAGTGCAGTGGGGCCTAAAACAAGATACATTAGCTATTTTTAATGTATGTCAATAGTGAGTGATATTTTTATCTTATTTTAGAATCAGATTGAATCTTCCCTATTTAGGAAAGATTGTACTTATTTTCAAATAGAATGTATATTTCCCTCTTAGATGTAAATATCCTTTGTGATGGTAATAATTTTAAGAATGGTCAACCAGACAAGAATATACAACATACATTTAACATGAAATTCTAATTTTATACATATGTGTTCTTTTGGCAGGTATATTTTGGAACTTCACATCCAAGATCCTATATCTCTGCCAATGTAACTGGTTTCAAGTGTGTGACAGGAATGTCTTGTTTAATGAGAAAGGATGTATTAGATCAAGCGGGAGGGCTTATAGCATTTGCCCAATACATTGCTGAAGATTACTTTATGGCCAAAGCAATAGCTGACCGGTAAGACTAACTTACATCTAAGACGTTCAGTGCCTAATTTCTATTGGCTTATCCTATTTGTTAAACCAGTGGAGTAAGAACTGTTTTATATTTTGCTAGTGACTACAGAGTAGGTTAATATAGAGAATATTTTATGTTAATTCAGGTATATGCTAATGAAGCACATTTATCTTCTGATTCCTATACATCCTTCAAATTAATATGCTTTGAAGTAATTGAAAGGGCGTTTAACTGCTCTTAATTTTCTTTACTAAAGTTATAAATTTCTATGTGTTTTAAGAGAAATAAAAATAGCAATATAGACATAAGCCACTTAGGTCAATATTTTAAATATATAATTTTAAAATTTTCACTAGATATTTTTGATACTTCACTAAAAAGCCACCTAATGAGTCATGTGGTTGACGTAACATTATTCTATCACAAAATACTTATTTTTATCACTGCCTTGTATGGTAATTTGCTAAAAATATACTTAAAATATGTTTTCAAAATTTCTCGAAGTAGTTTTCGTGGAGTCATTATTTCATAGTATTTCTCCTGCCAGTTTCTGTTTGCATGCTTGTTGAATGGTCGCAGGCATAAACAGACACCGCCCTCACTTCAGGGCTGGAGTTAGTACCCATCAGAAATTAGACTGTTAAATACAGAACATTTTCGGTTTTGCTACTTCCAGAATGACTGGATTTTAAGTTGCTTAAACCATAAAGTAAGGAGATTGTAGTTCCTTGCAGCTCTTGGGATGTGACTCTCAGGACCTGGTAGTTGCGAAGACGTGCATAAACACAGTGGGCCGTAAGGAGCGTAAGAAGCCTAAAGACTGGGTCCACCCTGAAGGCCAGCATTTGCTGCTCTTCACAGTGATGAAGAGACACACAATAAGGCAAGCTAACGTGTTCACAGAGCTTGCGCATCATCCTAGCTCATTTTATGTTACCTTAACTTTCAGAGGTTGGCGGTTTGCAATGTCCACTCAAGTTGCAATGCAAAACTCTGGCTCCTATTCAATTTCTCAGTTTCAATCCAGAATGATCAGGTATATCAACTCTCTATCTTCTTTTTGTTTGTTGCTAAAAGAAAGGAGGGAGGGGCACGATTATTACATCGTCGAACTTGGTAATAAACAGTAAAGTTCAACTATTTGTTTAGCTTAATGCCAGAAGAGGGAGTTTATCTTCTGTATTAAGATATTCGGTCTAAATGCATTTTCGTTGATGTATAGCCCTGAAAGCATTCCCAAAAGATGTTGGAACGTTGAATTTTTGTAATATGCTAACTTGTGTTTTCTATACTTTAATTTCTTAAAGGTTCCTTTTTTTATCAGAACATAGACAATGAAAATGAATTTGGGTTTTATGTATTAAATGACAATAGAAAAGGGAGTCATAGAAAATTTTTCTAAGAGAAGGGACTTGACATAAAGAACATACAGGGTAGAATCATTTTTTAAAAAACACCTGGTAACTCTTGAAACCAACCTGTTCACTAAAGGAAATTAATTTTTTTTTAGGTGGACCAAATTGCGAATTAACATGCTTCCTGCCACAATAATTTGTGAGCCAATTTCAGAATGCTTTGTTGCCAGTTTAATTATTGGATGGGCAGCCCACCATGTATTCAGATGGGATATTATGGTATTTTTCATGTGTCATTGCCTGGCATGGTTTATATTTGACTACATTCAACTCAGGGGTGTCCAGGTATGTGGCTAAGCTTGAAAAGGTTGGCAGTTATTTAGTGGAACTAAACTGTTTTAATTTAGAAAAGGTTGGAGAAAATTTATTTAAGCCAATCTTCACTTGAGGGTTAATATCAGGTTCAAGCATTACTTTCTCTAGTGGAATGTTGGTGCAAAACTCAACTCGAATTGCAACGTTCAGTTGGTTATAAAAAGCCTTTATAACTTCTAAAAGTGTTGTGCAAGTCAAAGAGTATTCAAACTAAGAATATTTGGGGTAGCTGTTAAGGCTACTTCTACTCAAAATTCACATTTTCTTAAATGGTATAAAGCAGAGGTTCCCAAACTTCTTTGGCCTGCTGCCCCCTCTTCAGAGAAAAAAACCACTCATTGCTGCCCTGGCAGTTTAAAGGCTCTTGTGTTACATGCCATAATCCAGGATAAAGTGTAGGCATCTGCTTTTCCATCCTTCCTCATAGTTCCAGTGCCCCACACCCAGGGGCGGTATCACCTACTTTGAGAAACACTGGTATATTGGGTGGCATTTAATGATCTAGAGCCCCGTACAGACTTGACTTTATGCAGTAGACTTGAAAGAGCGAAATCCAAGATTTTGTTTTAGCTTATCTCTAGTCTGTTGGTCAGTAGACTAATTTTTTTTTTAATTCCTAGGGTGGCGCACTGTGCTTTTCAAAACTTGATTATGCTGTAGCGTGGTTCATCCGTGAGTCTATGACAATCTACATCTTTTTGTCAGCATTGTGGGACCCCACTATAAGCTGGAGGACTGGTCGCTACAGATTGCGCTGTGGAGGCACAGCCGAGGAGATCCTAGATGTATAACTACAGCTCCGTGACTGTATATAAAAAAAGAAGTATTATAAATTATGTTTATATAAATACTTTTAAAGGATCTACCTTCAATAGTTTTATCACTTGTATGTTTTGGTAACTATTCTTTAATTTATTTTGCATGGCACTTGCATCTGTGAGAAAACAAAACGAAGCAAAAATCCACATGTCTAATCTTGGCCAAATGGTACACTTTATTTTGTGGAAGTATAGACTCAAGAGACTTGGTTCCAAGAACCTGGGTGTGTTTTGTTGTTGTTGTCTGTTTACTTTTTTAAAAACATAAACAAATACATGTATATATGACCGCTCTGCAACAAACACTATGACAGTACCCTTCAGTAGAAAAAGTTTCCTAGATGTGAGTGCACGCGTTTAGAATTGCCGGGGACGGCAGCAGCCGTGATCTGGGATTCTGGCAAGACTGGAAGGTAACTCATCTTCGTATCGAAAGGGGATGGTGTTACTCAGTGAACAGCCCACAGTGAGGTACTAACTGAGAAACTTTTTCATGCTCTATGCCTACCTCGTATAGTTGTTGCAGAGCAAATTTAAATCATCATAAGGTAGATGGGCCTTGCAAAAACAAATGAGAACAAACTTAATAAAAGTTTATAGCTGAAGTCTAGTATTTATATGAATCTGTGAGAGATATTTTTCAGTCTCGTTGCAATGAACCAAAAGTGGCTGAGTTTGGTTTTAAATTGTAGCCCTTTATGGAAGGCCTCTTTTGACCAACGTTGGTTGGTTCTGTCTTGAACCATTGTTGTCACTGTGCTGTACTGACTCTAGTGAAGCTCCTCGCCCAGCTGACCCCATCTTTCCTTACCTTTTTTTTCAGGGGGCTGGGGTAATTTTGTTGTTTGTTTTAGTGTGAGTGAATATTTTGATAGTTGTGAGGGGAAATGCATTTCAGACACGTTTCACACATGAGCTATTTTCTTACACAGTGTGTCTTATTGTTAATAAGAATGTAATTTCATGACAGATATTTAATATCTTTTTTAAGTAAATATTCTAGCCATCAGTAAATAAATTGCAGTAGAGTATTGAGGGCATAGGATTGAATTTTACTGTTAAAATTAATCAGTATCAGACTTCAGCCTACTGTGTGTACGTGTGTGGTTTTGTTTTTGCTTCAAACCATTATCGTTAGTCTAGTCTGTATTTAGATTGGATTTTTGTATTCCAGTTTGTATGACAAAGTAGACTAGATCAGTACTGGTTGTAAATGCATGCTATATTTCCTCTTCCCACCATCCCGCTAAACTTGCTTGTCAGGTTGTGCTTAACTTGTGGTGAACTGGGCTTGTTTGGGTTTGAGAAATAAGCGACCGTGTAAGGGACAGTGCAGAAGCCTTCCCCCTCCTTCTTTTGCTGATGGTGTTTTTGCTGCTGCTCCTGGATTGGGTGGCCTGTTGTCTCTATGGACACCTGTTTTGCAAGGCTCACACCGGCAATATGGCAGCTGCAAATTCTAAGTTAAATACTTTCCGTGTCAAAGCTTAATGTGGAGCATATTAGCAATAACTACATATTTATAGAAAATGGACACTTTGACTTCACTGAGCCAGTTCATTTGTCTAATGATTACACACATGTTTAAATTGCAATATGTCTATAAATGTGTATAAAGAAGGTATACACATTATAGTTAAGCTTTTCTCTGGGCCAAAATGCTTCATCCATTTTCCTTTTTCGTTCTCTTGTTTTGCCTTATGATGAATTTGTTCGAAGGGCATTTTGTTCGTGAACAAAGGCTTGAATGCGTGCTCCTGTCTTGGAGTAGGTAAGGTGGATTGGGTAGCAGTGTTCCCTGAGGAAAGTTGCACAGTGAAAGCCAGTCTAGTTGTGACCCACTAAACGTTCATTTTTTAGAATCATTGCTAATACAAGGTGAATTTTGCTGACTATGTAATTGTTGTTTTGTTTCATGAAGTCTGGTTGATGCCATACTTTGCACTGCTGAAATGAAAACTTGCTTTCTGTTGATCTCAGTATGGGCAATGTAGTAAAAAACCAAATGGCTGAACAGACTTCTTGTGCTTTGTAAACATTCAGTAAATGACTGTGCTGTGTGTGCTGTATGTGGTACTAATGGAGTACTTCCTAAAACTGAAGTTTCACATCAGCAGACAGAGTGATTCTTTGTGTAGAAAAATTTGATTGATTAAAACATGGTCATAGATGATACAAATGTTGATCTAGGAGTCAAGATGTAATAGCTGTCTATATTTTAAAAACCAACCAACCAACGTGTCCAGGATGTATCATGTTGTATTATTTAAAATCATGGTCTTAAGAGTTTTGTTCAAAAAAATAAAAATTTGAATACAATGAAAACATTGTATTTATTTTTGTTTACTGTCTTTTATATCTACCATATATATACTCGAGTACATCCAACCCGAATATCAGCCACGGCACCTAATTTTACCACAAAAACTGCATTAGAAATGTGCTGACTCGGCTTATACACCAGGATCTACATCAAGTATCCAACATGCTCTATCATTCGAATCAGAAAATTTACTAAGTGTGAATTACAACTTTTGTTGTTGTTGTCTGTTTATAGACTTAATGGCTTAAAGTAACACTTTTCTACTTGAGTTGTACATTGGAATCTCCTGGGAAACTTGACAGGAAAAACAGGTGCCTGAGTCCTACCCACAGGTTCTGATTTAATTAGACTGGGGTGGGGCCTGCGCTCTGGTTCTGATTTAATTAGACTGGGGCGGGGCCTGAGCTCTGCGGGCAATTCTGTTCTACAGCTGGGACCCACTGGTCTATGCTAACATTTAGTAAAGACGCACCAAGCACTTTGAACTTTCTGAACTCGGCTTTATAGATCTCACACCCCAATGGCTTTGGAAGACAAATCCAGAGAAAGGAATTAAGAATGGCATTGCTGGTTGACACCGAAGTAGGAGCTGGACTAAGCTTCACCCACATACTGTCCAAGGCCAGCCTCCTCCCAAGTTGTGGGCATTGCTGGGCCTGTTTAGCTACTAGCTCATGAAAAAAAAATCCTGGCAAGCAAATCCCAGGGAAGGAAGAATCTTAAAGGGATCTGACCACAGTCTACCAGATCTTTTTTCCTGGTGCTTTGACCTTGTAAGCAAGATCATTGCTCTTAAGTTTTTACAGCACACTTCTCACTAATCTTAAAATTTAATAAGTTGTCATGAAATGAATTGTGTTAGTCTGGGTACATTAGAGAAATCCACAGAAACTCATAGGTATAAGAGAGAGTTTTATATAAAGGGTAAGTTCACATCAAAAAAACATCCCAACCCAGTGCTGCCCAAGCCCACAAGTCCAACATTAGCCCATATGTCCGACACCAATCCACAAAGCCCTCCTCCATCTCACAAAACACACGCAGTGATGCCGACTGCAGGAGGAAAGCCGAATCAGTGAGCGTGTAATCATCTCAGCGCTGGCAGGGGTCTCCACACGGGTGCTCCAGCACCCAGGGCTGCATCGGGTAGGTGCTTGCGGCTTCTCAGGGATGTCTTGCAGGAAGTGAGCCCTGCCAGCTGAAGCAGGGAACTGGCTAAGCCAGCTGCACCCTGGTCCAACTATCACAAAACAGGAGACCTGAGAGAACGGTGAGGCTCACCAAGCCATTTATCTCTCTGCCCTTCAATTAATCCCACATGTGTTTATCGGCCAGGTTGACTCTTAAGAATTGTGTTTTAAAAAATTGTTCTAGAAAACCATATTCAAACCTGCTGAACAAGAATGTAAATTGTAAAGCTTGTTTAAGGTGACATGCTTTATATACACTATTGAGAGATAAGATTTCAGCACATACCAGAAGACTATGTTCATGTCATTGAATACAACTTAGACCATTTCCTTCTGAAATTTACTAGGGGATAGTGCTTGAACTATTACTTATTCAAAATAAACATTGCTAAATGATGAGCAACAGTCCTCAGAGCTGCAAGTATATGCATTGAACTGAATAATTTGCCTTTGAAAAAAACTGGCTGCCAGGTATTTTTTAATTATACTATTAATCTTTTGTGAAAACAAACATACTTTAGGTTACAGTTCTTAATCAGCTAGTAGCCTTAGACCAAAATATGCTCTGCCCTTGGCTGGCCTCTCCTGTGAGAGATTGGCAGGGACTGCGAGCCCTGCTGGCGTAGTGGTCAAGGTCAGCAGTTCCAAACCACCAGCTGTTCCTCAAGAGAAAGGATGCTTTACTCCCACAAAGAGTTACAGTCTCAGGAACCCACAGAGGCAGTTCTGCCCTGTCGACAGTACAGGGTTGCTGTGAGTTGGAATCAATATAATGGCAGTGAGTTTGGGGTGGTTTCTTTGTGTGATATTCTGGGTTGGTTTCCTGTGGTTCTGCTCTCTGCACTAGTAGTCACCAAGACGTCCACGTGAATAGCATGGAGTTGTAATTATGTAAGCAATTTAGGGATGCCGTTTCTTTAAGCGGGATTGAAAGCAAAGTAGGTTAACCACCCTCCCCTGCTCCCTGGCCCTCTTATTGTGCCTCCTTGATTTGCTTTTGTTCCCCTGCCCTTATCACCAGCCCTGGAACTTCTGTCATCCTTCCTCAACCACCACCAGGCCAGCCAGAAGAACAAGTCGGCAAACAGACTATTAACACAAGGTCTGGAGTACGGGGCAGGAGTGGGGCTGTAAGTGGGAACCTGGGAGTTAATTCCATAGCGGCCATAGTTAAAGACAGCGAGTAAATAACAAAAGACAGCATGTCAACTAATGAGAGCTAAAGATAGAATCGTGGGGGTCTATATAGAGATACCGGTAGAGAGAAGCATCTAAGAAAGGTTACCCTCCCTGCAGTCAGACTGCCGTTCGATAGCTGCAGGACTTTGGGCAGGCTGCTATCTGAGCCTAAGTGTCTTATGTGGAGTGGGAGATATTAAAGCACCTGATGTTGTTAGATACACACGAGGACTAAGGTGTGCCTGACCCAAACCCTGGTATTTTCAGTCACCTCATATTCATATGAAAGTTGGGCATCGATGAGGAAGACCAAAGAAGAAGCTAAGTGTTTGAATGGTGCTGGTGGAGAATATTGTAAGTACCCCAGACTGCCAAAAGGACAAAGATGTGTCTTGGAAGAAGGACAGCCAGAAAGCTCCACAGAGGCACAGAGGGTGAGACTTCGTGTTAGATACTTTGGACATGGTGTTGGGACAGACCAGTCCCTGGAAAAGGGCATGATCGTGCTTGGTAAAGCAGAGGGGCAGTGAAAAAAGGAAGGCTTTCAACAAGACAGATTGACAGTGGCTGTGACAGTGGGCTCAAAGCACAAGAACAGCGAGGCTGGTGTGGGACTGGGTGTGTTTCATTCTGTTGTACAAAGAGCCACACGGGTCAGAACTAACTCGGCTGCACCGAACAACCACAAATGAGGCGATCGAAAATGCCATGGCTCCCAGTTGTCTAGTTGTGTTTTTCATTGTGTTAACTAAATTTGCGAATTTTTATAATTCTCCCCCTTTTGTTGTCAGATTTGAGTTTGAATAAAATTTATTGAAACATTAAATATATTACTCTTAATTCTCCAAAGATGCTGAAACCGACCAAGACGCTTTGAACAGTTGAGTGATCCTCTTGAAGCATATCCTCCTGAATCTAGCATTTAAATTTCAGCTTCTGTTCTGCTCCCAATCCATTAGGTTTAATTCAAATGGAAACTGTCTGTATGACATAATAAGCTCTTTTCCTTCTAAAACTGCGGAAAATTCCTGGCACATCCCAGATTACTTCATTTTTACCCTCTATATAAATATATTTTAATAATTGTAAAATTTCTTACTGTCTTAATTTAAAAGTTGTCAAAAGTGGTCTAGGATTACATTTTTAATGATCTTTAAATTTAGTAGCATTAAAGTACTAAAAATTTACTCTTCACTACTTACTCATGTTGCGAAACATGAGTAAGGGCTAAGGTGTTGTTTCCTATACAAATTAGATCTATTCTTTTCAGATCCTTGCCTGGTTATCAAAGCTACTAGTACCTGGCATTAGAAATTATGCATTCTACTTTTTTTTTTTTTTGCATTCTATTCTTTTAAGGTGATTTGTATCAGGTCTTTCATATATCTTAGGCCTCTGACCATTTTGAAATTTATGTCACCCTTGAAATGGCATTTAGAGAATCAGATGTTGAGTTGTTTTGCTTCAAAGGAAGAAAGTTATTTGCCTAATTCGATGTGTATCCTAGGAATAATGTGATTCAGAAAACACTCTAACATGTTGAAATGTTTTAACAAAGGAAGATTATAGATAGGACATTGAGTTGTAATCCATCCTGAAGGCTGCGGTCCTTGAGCTCCATCAGCAAATGCTTCAAGAATCCCTCAGAGCAAATGTTACTTAGTGTCTGCAAATTATGTCCAGCTCGTCCAAGGCGTGGCTCCTCCATCCTTTTGTGTCCTTGGTATGTCCCTCTTTCACTCCTTTTCTTCCAGTGCTTTCCACAGCAGTCACATAGAGCGCGTTTATTATTGTCAGCAGCGAACATTTGATGTGTAGGTTCAAATGTCATGTAATACCTTCCACCTTTTCGGTGTGTTAACAATGCATTCACTATTTTATCATCCACTCCCCCTATTTAACAAAAGGATTTCCTTGCATATAAAATACTAAATTTTTGTTTCCCTTTTCGGGAATTGTCTTTTCCCCTCTTTGATCAAACCAAGAGCCGTTCCAGGTCATAGCATCCCTGTGGTGCAGAGCGGCATTCTTCTTTTTTTTCAAATTGGTAATGGTAACATTTATTCTTTTTTTTTTTTTAATCATTTTATTAGGGGCTCATACAACTCTTATCACAATCCATACATACATCAATTGTGTAAAACGCATTTGTACATTCAATGCCCTCATCATTCTCAAAACATTTCCTCTCCACTTAAGCCCCCGGCATTAGGTCTTCATTTCTCCCCTCCCTCCCCCCTCCCTCATGAGCCCTTGATAATTTATAAATTATTATTTTGTCATATCTTGCTCTGTCCAACGTCTCCCTTCACACACTTTTTGGTTGTCCGTTCCCCAGGGAGGAGGTCACATATAGATCCTTGTAATCGGTTCCCTCTTTCCTACCCACTCTCCCTCTACCCTTCCTGTATTGCCACTCACACCACTGGTCCTGTAGGGATCATCCGCCCTGGATTCCCTGTATTTCCAGTTCTTATCTGTGCCAGTGTACATCCTCTGGTCTAGCCAGACTTGCAAGGTAGAATTCGTGTCATGATAGGGGGAGCAGGGAGGAAACATTTAGGAACTAGAGGAAAGTTGTATTTTTCATCGTTGCTACATCGCCTAACATTTATTCTTTAAATAATTCTTAAATACCAT